ATTACTATGCTACGTAGTATCGTATTAACTTTAATATTAAATCAGATGTCTAATCATTTATTATTAAAGTTACTTCAAAATAATGACAAGTCTTTACCCTTAAAAAATCATTTGACACTTATTTTTATACTTATAAAAAAAAATAAAGAATTTAAAGATAAAAAACAAGTGGCATATCCAAGATACACCATTGCTGTACATCATCTCCATTCTCATCGCTTCAATTGAAGATTATAAAAAATATTATACACAACTGTAGCCAATTTTATTTTAATTCCAACCAAAAGAATCTCATTATTATCCAAAACTGTAATGGCTAATTAATAAATCTATACAAAAATAAATAGAGACTAAAATAAACCTTTCTATATATGCATATATTAAGAAGAATAGAGAAAACAGTGTTATAAGAAAATAAGAAAAATGCAATCTATGCAAAATAACGAGGATAGAAGTCATCAAATCGATGACCGCGAATTCCTTCATTATAGAACATTTCAGGAAATTGCATTGAAGGTGGATAGTAATCTTTTGGAACTTGTTCATAGCTGATAATTGAAGCATCATTTGGATCATTGACAACAAGGAATTTACCAGCTTGGATTTCAGTATCAGTAATATGACCGTGACTAATTCGTGCAAAAGCAATTCTTTTTAGTCCGCGGTATCCAATATATTCGCACCATCTATTTGACTCTGATGGATCAATATCATTTATATGACCATCGTCGAAAAGGATATGATAAACATGTTGGAATGGTGCAGTCACAACATATCCCAAAAATACGAATGGATTAGGAGATTCACGCATTATTCGGGCCAATTCAGTAGTTTGTAGTTCGCGATCCAATGGATTTTCTTCTTGGCCGTTATGGCTAACAATGAAATCAACATGTTGGCCATAAACATCTAAAGTTGCATGAATTGCACAAGCAAGTTCACCAACTGGAGAAGGTAAAAGATGATGTGTCGAATTTATTATAGGAAATTTAGAAAGCATGGCACAGCCCCAAGTATGCTTAGATGGTCCCGGACCGTAATCTACGTAATAACCTAAATCTTCAGAAATATACTGCCACAAATCTCTGTTACCCATGATAATACGCTGAGTGTCGGATTCTAATAAGCCTGAATATCGAACGAAAAATCAAATATTTTGTATATTTTATTAGTATCATTACAAAAATTAATTGTATAATAATAAAAAAAAAAAAGATCTAATAAAATTGTTATAAAAACATACCAATAACATCAAATTCCAAATCCCTAATGGCATCTCTAATACGCACTTCTGAAGACCACATATCATTATCAAGGGTGAAATGAATCGTCCAGATACCAGCTGTAAACATTTTATGCTCTGGTCTATGCGGAACAGGTACCCTTGCAGATGTATATCTAGCAAATGAGACCAAATAACTAAGAAAAATAATTACAAAAATAGCTATACGAGTGAAATTTCTAATAGATCTAATCTTTTTAAGGTGGGCAATTTTATACTTTTCAACAATACTCGCAGCTTTTTTGAATGGTCTCTCATCCTATACGACGTTGCTTTTGATGCTATCACTTCCTTTGATTTTACATATTTACAATTG